TCATCATATAACCTTAATTATTAGTATTAAAATATTATTATTGTTATTATTATTGTTATTAGTAATATAATGATAATGATAATGATAATAATATGATGATATTAAAGATAATGATTATAATAATGATGATAATGATGATGAGGATGAGGATAATAATAATAATAATGAATTATGAAATAATGGTAATGATAATGATGGTAACAGTAATAATATCAATAAATAATAATGATAATAATAACAATAATAATAATAATAATAATAATAATGATAATAATGATAATAATAAATATGATTTTCATCAATATTATGATTATCATTTTTATCATTATTATTATTATTATTATTATTATTATTATTATTATTGTTATTATTATTATTATTATTATTATTTTATTATTATTATTTTATCATTATTATTATAATAATAATAATTATTATTATTATTAGAATAATAATAATTATTATTATTAGAATAATAATAATAATAATAATAATTATTATTATTATTATTGTTATCATCATCATCATCATCATCATTCTTATCATCATTACTATTGTTAATATTGTTGGTATTATCATTATTATTATTTTGTTATTATTACTATAATAATGATGATAATGATAACAATGATTATAATGACGATGATAATGATAATAATAATAATAATTATTATTATTATTATTATCATTATTACTATTATTATTATCATTACTATTATTATTATTATTATTCTAATAAAAATAATAATTATTATTAGAATAATAATAATAATAAAATAATAATAATAAAATAATAATAATAATAATGAATTATGAAATAATGGTAATGATAATGATGGTAACAGTAATAATATCAATAAATAATAATGATAATAACAATAATTTTGGAAATGATAATAAATATGATTACCATCATTATTATGATTATCACAGTTATTATTATTATTATTACTATCATTATCATCATTATCATAGTAATAATAACAAAATAATAATAATGATAATAATAGTGATAATAATAATACTATGATTATCACAGTTATTATTATTATTATTACTATCATTATCATTGTCGGTATTATCATCATTATCATTGTCGGTATTATCATCATTGTCGGTATTATCATCATTATCATTGTCGATATTATCATCATTATCATTAGCATTTTTACTGTAATGATGGTGGTTATAATATAGTAGCAATATTAATAGCAATTACTCTAATGGCTGTAAATATCGGTCATCACTTTTCCACGTTATATTTTAATTTGTTGATCTTATAATGATAATTATTGTTTTGATAATGACATTACTGCTTTTACTACTATAGAATATGCAGATAATGATATTTATGATGTCAATGGCAGTGTAATGATAATAGCAATAACAATAGTAATAATAATAATAATAATGATAATAATAATGATGATAATAATATTGATAATCATGCTACTGAAGATAATTTGTAATGATGATAATGATAATGGGGATGGTAATAATAATAGTAATAATGATAATAATAATAATAATAATAATAATAACAATAATAATAATAATAATAAGGGTATTATTATTATTAGTAGTAGTAGTAGAAGTAGTAGTAGTAGTAGTAGTAGTAGTAGTATTGATAATAAAATAAAAACGATGATAATGAGTAGCATTATTATTGTCACTCTTACTGTTATTACCATTATCATTATCATTTATGTTCTGACTATTGTTGTTAGTTTTTTTTGTGTTGCTGTTGGTATCACCATCATCATTGTTATAATTACCATTGTAATTAATTATTATTTTTAGTTGTATATTTGTTTGTTGTTCTTGTTTGTTCATCATTGGTATTATATTTGCTAACATCATTATAACTACAAGAATTACCATTTCGATTAAATCATAATAAGGGCATTGATCAAAGGATTTTTTCTTTTTCAGGCCATCAGATCAACATCCTCATGGTTTACCTCATCTATCACCTTCACCTCGTCTCTCATCAGTATTTTATTATGTGATTAATATGATAAAAGCATTACACAACACTCATGTCCATTCATTAAATACCCATGTGAAAATGTTTACATGCACAAGCATGCATCTATGATATTGCGCGTGAATTGGTATAGATATAGAAACAGTTTGACGTTTAGTAGGAAAGACTGAAAAACAGAAACTACGAACGATAAATTTTACATTCCCTGGCTCTTAGTATCTCTGATATCCCGGACACCCTCGTTGAATGGGTGGCTTTGGGGAGGAAGCCACTGCTCGCCTGCCTCTGACTGACCAGATTTAGTCTCTGACTTGGGACGTTCGATCTTTGCGACAAGATGGATTATTTTTACTGCTGTCGAGGGAACTGAGCCGACTGCCGGCTGAGGTGGCACCACGGCGTGGCTTGGGCCGCAGCACCACCTCTAGGGAGTAGCCATGGCCATGGCCAGCAGACGTCAGCTTCCGGTAGGAGAGGGAGCTCCAGTTGAGGAGCATGTTTTGGTAATGAGACTCTTAGTAGTCGCCTGATTTAATGATTTTACTTGCCGGGTGTGCTCTTACTGGTGAATGCAAACCTGATGTGAAAGAAATATCCTACCCCGGACTTGCTTCCCTTGCAGAAAGCTGTCCATCCAGGTCTCAGCCCACTTCTTAGTAAATGCCCTTTTGACCTACTTACTGATTCCCGAGGAAAGTGACTGCAGTTCATTCAGCCAATGGCTAGATCATCTCCTGTCCTGATGGGATGCGATCATGCGGGACAGCATTTTGCGTGGCTAGAGATGCTTAGCCTGAACATAGGTGGTGTTATGGTCCCAGTGCTGATCCTGAGCAAGGATAGAAAAGTGATCTCAGAAGAAGGATGGAATTGCAACAAGTGAATTAAGCATTCTTACAGGAATGCCGACATTGGATGGTAAAGCTATGACTTGAGGATAGATGCTATTCTGGCAGCTAAATGACACCATCCCGCGTGCCTGCCTAAGGGCGTGGTCATCTTTCACTGGAAGTGGAAATGGGATTACAGAGACAATACTTACTAAATGCACAAATCAACTTGAGTCACTGTAGGATGCCACCAAGAGTTCGGTCGTGGGCTGCTTGCATCCTACAACGACTTCAAGGAGTCCAACTCAAAGTATCACAAATTGCTCTGGGAAATCCTCTGACTCAAAATTCCAACTAAGGTTATTGAATAACAAATCTATATACAGATATTGAACGGCCTGTAAAAAGGGGAGATAAAGCTTCGTTCTTGTGAATTCACTTCTGAACATTTGCATACACACTGTACTGGGTAGAACTGCTGTCCAAAGACTGCGTGACAAGGCTAGGTAATAGTAAAGCTACAGATATGGGTTTGCAAATGCTGCTGCTATTCTGGCTGAGTCTCTGGAGGTCCTAGTGGCCACTCGCAATGCATTTAACACTTACTGGACCAAGACAAAGATCCAGGAGTGAAATATGTCATAGAAGAATCTGCCCATTAGATAGGAACTTACGGCGAGGAGCTTTATATGCCTTGATGATGTATATTAAACAAGGTTGTTGAACCATAACTTCAACAGACATATTGACCTAGACACATGAGTCAATGCCTCTCTTGATAGTGGGTATGTGATCTTGGAAATCCCACGCTTTGAATATACTGATATTGCCAGTTTTACTGTATGTTAGCAAAACCTGGACTGTTTTATCCTTGGGAGTAGTGTGTAGATATCATTTTTGCAGAAGATCCCTCGCATCAATCGCAGGGGACATTTGGTAACACCGTGGCCCACCTCCGCGCCTGCATTGTCAACAGCCAACTCAGGCTTTGCAGATACTTGGCTCCATTCCCTGAGGACGCGCTTGCTCATCAGGTTCTATTCCTGAGACAGTCCTTGGCGGAGAAAGCCTGTGGCCTGTCGTTGCTTTGCCAGATTAATCAAACGTGTTGCAGGGAAGTTGAGGCATGCCAGGTCCCTGCATAGCGGATTACCTTGGGACTATAAGTGAAGGGTTGATGTGGCAATGTGCCTTCCGCGGCGGTGCTTCCCATTGATGACTTGACTAGTATTTGTAATCCCAATCAACAAAAGTGATGCTGATAGATGCTTTGACTGTACACCTGTTAGATGGTGATTTAAGATATGCGCGCGCAAGGCTGTGTGTGTGTGATAAACAAGTCAGAGAGAACCGAACAACATTAATTTTGAGAAGATAAAGATTTTACAGCTGAATTTAGGAAAAAGAGAAATCGTAAAAAAACGATTACGTAATAAAAACCATCTGACGCTAATCATAATAGAAATAATTTATAATTCTGCTAATGATCCCCCCAAATAATAAATGATTATACCGCTGGAAAGAAAGAAATTAATTTAAATAAATTGCTTTCATGAGTAAAATGAAAACCTCCCAAACCAGCTTATTTAACTAAGATTTTTTTTTAAAGATTCTACCACACTGAAAAAGTAAATAAATATCCTAGCAAACCCATATTCTAGGATACACCGCTCTGGTAATGAATACATTGATCCTAAATCCGCGTTGATCCAGCC